CTCCCAGTGGCTCTGTCTCTCTTCTACTCACCTTTGATCACAAACACTGGATCGCTGAATAATCCGTCCGAGAGTCTATTTTTTCTTCATTTACTTTGTTTATTAGTGTATAATTTTAAAACATTCAGGAGATGCATACAGAATTCCCCACTAAGATGACCAAGGTTGCGGTTGGTCACACCGAATTGAGGAAGGTTCGGTCCAGTCGTCAAATGCAGTGCTGAAACACCTTTGAGATGACATTAATCAAGAAATCAAGTATCGCTAATTAGCATTACCAGCTTTTCTGTTGGCTCCCTCGGTCGACCTCGCAAGCGTGGTGATTTTGTTTCCAACGGCAGGTGATCTACTGGCACTGCCTTGGCAATCGACCGGTCAATTGCGATCAACCTATTGGCCACCCCTGGCTTAAAAGATGTTACATGATGTAACAGCAAGCAGGAATTTTCACATCAAAGGTTTTCACATAAAAATGATAAAAAACTGAATGAATGGGTTCTTAAGAACCTTAATTCATGGAAAAAATGTCATCTGATTGCAGAGAAATCTGATCAATCAAAGAAATATTTCAATGTTGTATATATCGCTGTCATTCTGCATATTCTGCAATGATTAGCCATGTGCTTCTGTTTATTGCAGACACTCTGTCTGTCAGACCATATGTAAATCTGTCAAATTTGGACAGTCTCTTTGGACAGCAATGGAACTCTTTCACAGAGGAATAGTCAGTCTTTCAATACATCAAATGTTCTATGATCGAATAACTATTATCATCTTTCTTTTCATGGGATTTGTCGAGAAAAATATAGAACGTGACCAGCCTTAGCCTTTAAACTGCAAAGATAAATAAAGCTCATGTCGAAACAGTGAAAATCTTCCAAATGATCATTTTAGCAATTCTCTAGGGCAAAAGGAAGTACACCAGAAACATTTCACTCTATCCTGAGCTTTGTGGTCACTTAATTATTTCTTCAGTGACCAACGATGCCTTAAAGTTAAAAAAAAAATAGTGATGATTTTTTTCTCTTCCAGTGTGTTAAAGAACCACCATCAATAATTCATGTTTGATAGTGTGGGCACTGTTTGCTCCACTTACTCTCTTCAATCACAGCACACTTTTTAATATTTCACTGTGGGTGGCAGAGGCCGATCCACTTCCCTCTCTTGGTCTCATTTTGTTATTTGATTTTTTTTTAGATTGGATCCCAAACGTTGCCCCACTTTATTTAAAAATATTTCTGATGAGGAAAGACATGGCGGTTAAAAGCAGACCACAGAGCTGCTTAAATATTAAATGGATGGACGGTAGTGGCACAGAAAACACAATCTTCTTTTCCTTCAGCTTTGCATCCAAATCCAAATGGCAATTGTCTGGTCAACAAAACAGTCATGGGATTTAGTCTTAAAGCCCTCAGCATATTTGAGTGCAGTGGAGTTTCGCTGTACATGTGCTTGGTCTGTATTCTTGATGTTTTCACTGTAAGAATATTGAAGTCAAGTTGACACGTAATTAGTAAGAGCAGTTAAACTTAGTTCTGAAAGCTACAACTATTTTTCTGTATTAACAGCAGAGCTACTTAGTGAGCCTGGTCTCCTACAAATAACGTCACAATAGATGACAACAAAGGTCCATTGTTAATAACATTAGGAAGGATTTCTTTTGGGTTTTACCATTGTGTTTTAAGTATCATAAATTATGTTTCTAATCAGAAAGGGTGTAGGGTTAGATGATGCACTACTTTTTATGCCCCACGGTATTTATCTTCAAACCCCTGCCAGCTGTTAGGATCATGTTTTTTGACTTTGTTGACTTTGTGTTTTTAATACAATTCAACCACAGCTTTCAGTTAAAGAACGTATGACATGTAAACTGCACAATACAACCACTGCTTGGATCTTGGATTACCTTTTGTCTCGACCGAAGTTTGTCAGGCTTGATAGAAAAAATTCGGACACTATTTTAACTAAAACTGGAGCACCACAGGGAACAGTTTTATCCCCCTTTTTATACTCGCTCGATACAACCAACTATAGGCAGGAGCAGGTGTCCTGTAACATCCATATGTTCTCAGATGACACTGGCCTGGCTGGTCTTCTTACCTGAGGCAATGACCTGACCTATAAATGGGAGGTTGAATCCTTTGTCGGCTGGTGTAGTGAAAATTTCCTAAAACTAAATGTTTCTCAACAAGTTGGTTATTGATTTGATGAGAAAGAGGGAGGAGGTCTCCCTAGTGATAATTCCGGGTCAACAGATTTTTCATGTTTTTCATCAGGGGATCTTGGCTCGTTTCCTCAAAATAGTGCTCTGGCAGGGGGGTCGGCATTACTACGGATGACAAAAACAGGATCAATAAGCTGATCAGAAAGCCTGATTCTGTGATTGGCCTTCTCTCAGACTCACTAGAGGTCACTACAAAAAAGAGAACAAGGCCCAATATAAAAACAATGTCTTTTGAAGGCCATCCACTACACAGTGTGTTTAATGGAGCTGATTCAGTGAGAGACTCCGGATGCCTAAATGACTGAGAAGGTCTTTTATACCAGCAGCAGTTCGATTTTTGAATGAACACCTTTAGGTTTAGCATCTTTCTGATGTTGATCATGTTTTATACGGCATGTGGCCTGTTTTTGTTTGTTCCTTGTCTTCATGCTCTGTGGACTGTGTCTATTGTTGTTTGTATGAGTCAGTACACATTTTTTTCTGATCAATAGAATGATGTTTGTGTGCCATGTGACATCCAAAGTCGTTGCGGAGTCTGGCAGAAGTGGCCATTGGCTATTGGGAATAACAGTGTTGGTTGGTCAGTTTGTGCACTGCTTTGGTTCAGATAGAAATGCCTCTTGCAACTACACAATGGTTTGCCATTTTAATTTTGCACGGACCATGGTCTTTGCCTCAGGACATTCTGCACAATACTCGTTTGGACTGGTGTAAAATACCAAAATGAATAGGGTAGTCCCTAAAGTTAGTTTTAACTAAGCTGAAGGGCTAACATTTCACAATTTGAAAGCTGACAGCTTTCCATATTTGTCACATGTAGATTGCACGTTTCCATCTGGGATTTTACTGCCGGGCGTTCTACTGCTCAAACCAATCAACTCATAAGTCATGACAATGACAGAGACACTGGGAGCTGGTAGACAGCAGTACAAAGCTCAGCGGCAATATCTAGATCTAACTAGACCTCAGCTCTTTTTAATGCGCCGTGGATGATTGCACGTTCCACTCAGGCACAACCAATCTTAGCTGCAAATAGAAAATACTGACAAGATGCATGGCTATAACGTCCAGTCGTTTCTAAATCTGTTGCTCCATGAGTAAGAACTAACAGAGAGAGAAAAATCATGTATTGGGCTCTTCCACATTTACTGTGCTTCATCACAAGGTTGTGTATGCATGTGTTTCTGTGTGTTTCTTTTCCTGCCACTAGCCTGGGCACACCTGCCTGTAACCGGCTCATCACCTCCCTTATGCTTACACATTGGCTCCTCAGCAGATCATTGCCTCATCAGCTGCTCTCACGGTTAAGACTATATTTCATAGCTGTATTTCCTGGAAGTAAGTGGCCCCTATAACATGAGCTGTTCAGACCAAAATGCTACATCGGTCAAAATCTAAACAAGCCTAGCTCGAAATAGATAGCATAATATCCCATTCCTGTTAAATATACATTATTGCCCAAAGGAAATATAGATAATAAACAGTTGAATTGATTTAGCTCAAAAGTGAAGAGTTTCTACAGAAGCAATGTTGATTGTTAAGAATCCGTTCACAAAAGAGGCTCTTTATTTAGCCTGCAGCTTATGGAATAATTTATATATTTTAGCCCTCTTTGTAGTCCGCCTTCGCTGTAGTTTTAACATGACATACCTACGTGAAAGATATCTGCCATTGCCTCATAATTACATAATTGGAATCCCTTAACACCAGTTCTCTTTTCCCTACTCCTCATGAATTCACCTTGACCTCTTTCTTGACCCTGTCAAGTTTCCTTTAAAGGTCAAGGAAAAGTAGTAGACATTAAGAGGTCATTTTTTGGTCTACATATTTATAATTTACATATTCAAACATAGTGTTTAAAAAATGCAACGTTTCATGGTGATATCCATGTATTTCTTTTCCAAATGCACTAGTTTCCCTTAAATGTATATTCTGAAAGTTGTTCATTATCATTCATTGCTATATAACTTTTTAGTCCTACAAACATTTTAAAAAGAATTTTGTATGGCTGTTATCTTCAGCGGCAACAATGACATCTTAGAGTTTTGTTGAGCTTAGCATGTGTTAAGCAATCAATTCTCTGCAGAAGATTGTTTTTTATTGGCTTTTCCTTTAGTTTTAACTGTCTCTTGTTGAACATCATGGGGATCAAATTTAAGCCACATTGATTTTCTTTTTTTTTCATGGGATCTTGTTTACAGTTCATTCCTTCAAAGTTGAATTGTGCCAATTGAAAAATTATCCAATATTTGATCTGCGGTGCAGTGTTTATTATACATTTAGTCTGTGCATCTAACACATCAATTTGGCAATTATGTGTTTAGTGTCCACCCAATCACAAAGGTCAGGTTGAGCAGCTGAAGATGCTCCAGTGGTGCGGCGCAAAGATGATATGCAAATGTGTGCGAGGGGCCACTTGTACAATTAAATTAGAAATGATGATGCTTTTTGGTGATTTGACCCACAGGGCATTCTGGGTGCACCCAATCCGTCCGTACAATCTACGGACGGGCCTGTGGGCAGTTTTTCCATAAATGGCGGTAAAAGGGGGTCATCGACTAACACAATCAATGTTCAGCGTTGTATACAAAAAACACGTGATCGATCATATGAGAGCATTTGTTATCGAAGCCGTGAGAGCGGTGTGCACGCGCGCACACACACACACGGGCGCGCACACACACACACACACACAACACCCTCCCTCTCGCTCACTCTGCAGCGCTCTCTCTCATACAGCCGGGCAGCGAGACCGAGGCAGCCCTGCGAGAGAAAAGACGAGAAGGCAAGATAAGGAAAAAGATGACGAGCTTCACCATGGCGCCGAGACCGCTGCTGGAACTCGCGTGGGTCCTCCTGGTCGTTCTCGCGCCCCAAGTCCGAGGTCTAATCGGCGACGAGGACCAGAGCCAGGACACCGAGTGCAAGATGAAGAGCGTCACCGTGTCGGCGCTGCCGTTTCTGAGGGAAAACGACCTGAGCATCATGCACAGTCCGTCGGCCTCCGAGCCCAAGCTGCTGTTCTCCGTCAGGAATGACTTTCCCGGGGATGTCGAGGTGGTGGACGACCTGGAGAACACCGAGCTGCCCTTCTTCGTCCTCGGTGAGTGCCGGAAACACAACTGTGCGCGCCGTTTGCCAGCCGCCAATTGAGCTGATTGAAATCCTCTCTGTAATACTTCACACCGGAGCACTTGTCTGTTAGCTTAGGCCTGGTTCCACACTACGTTTTAATGCTTCGAAATTCATTTGGCGCTATACAAAACCACAATTAATGTACAACGCCGTTAGCTTCGTTCATGTGTGATTAGCCTGTCACCAGCTGGTAATTAGTTAAGCGGCTGTTGCGATAAGGCTGTGGTGAGCTAACGTTAAGTCAAGGTTTAGCACTTTCTATTGCAATAGTAGGCCGCATAGCATCTTAATGCTAACACAATTATACATATTTATTTATATTTAACCTATTTGCCGGCGATACATTTATTAGACTATTGTTCCTGTCAAGCCTCGGATGTTCTCCCTCACGTTAGCTCACACGCGGGGCTCGAGTCGCTACATGTGTTAGCAACTAACGTTAAGTTAACTTAACCTTACTTGCTAGTAAGCGCACGAGCAGCCAAACTCCAGCCACTTTAGCATAACTTTAATATATGCTTCTGTTGTTACCTGGTCTCTTAATGCTGTCAGTGGCCAATGTGTGTTTTGTAACTGCTTCAAAGCTACTTGTTAGTTTTAGGGCATTATGTAACGCTTTCCAAGTTTAGACATAACCGATTTCAATGACCCTAACGTTAAATTAATGAATGAATGAGTGTGAGTTTGGCGGAAAGTGGCAAAAGTTTGCATTGTGGAAGTTACTGGCCACTGTCCATGGTGCTGAATGATCACGGTCGACGGTGGCGCATGGAGTACTGCGAGTGTGCTGGGAAACCGCAAGGTTAGCGGTTCGAGCCCCGGCTGCTACATGTCCCATGTCGTAGTGTCCCTGAGCAAGACACCTAACCCCTAATTGCTCCCTGGGAAAAAAAGTAAACGCCACAGGTTAAAAATGCAATGTAAGTTGCTTTGGATAAAAACGTCAGCTAAATTACCTGTAATGTAATGATCTCTGTTGCTTTAAAGTGATGGTCTCCCTCTGCTACTGCCTGGTCAGCTTTGTGTCTTTTTGGATGTTTTTGTGATAATTTGTGGTGTCCTGTACAATAATTAAGTAGTCTTATTGACCCCAAGACAGAAATCTACATGTTTATGTGTTAGCTGTTAATTGTAATGCACTGTCTCACCATACACGTGTCTTTATTGTAACTTTTCAAAGAAGTTTTTTGATGTTTTTAAAATGCCTTTTTTAATATCTGCATTTCACATGGATACTGTAGGTTTCTCTTCTCTGGCAGATGTGCATGGCTAAGGAAAGCAGCAGATTGGTACAATGGTTGTTTGAAAAACCAACAACTATGCACCTGGTTCTTACAACATCAAAAGATATCACCAATTAAGCAATTATCAACATAATTTCCTCTTAACACTGTATACCGGCTAGTAGTGAATGGGAGGGTTGACTTAAAAGGGGGTGACGGGTTTGGACCAATTACATGTCTAGCATCCCATAGACGACAATCATGGACATTTTAATATTCCGCCAGCATACAGTATTACTAATGAATCACTGTGAAGCCTAGTTTATGCTTCTGCATTTTCAGAGAGACGCAAGGACACGCAGACGCAAGAGCCCCTTGCGTGTCCCTTTCGTGCCTTTTCACACCTCCTTGCGTGCGTCGACCCATTTTTATAGGCTTGCATCAAAAGCTACGCAAGCCTCCTGCATCCCGCAAGGCTGCGATTGGTCTGCATCCTTTCCGATGTCTCACATTTCCGGTTTCATAGCACAATACCGCCATTATTAAAACAAAGATTTTTTACGAGAGAATAGATGAGATTGAAGAACTTTTGTCGGAATAAATCCGTAAATATGACCACTTCTACAACCCGTCATTGGCGGACTATGAGGACGCGCGGATGGCCTCCCGATTCATGGAGGGAGATCTCCGCAAACGTTGGTTTGCCGGTCGAGGGGTGCACAAAGTTGTGGAGGAAAATACGGGACAAATGTGTCCGGCGATGCATGGGGCGATAAAGTTTATGATAAATAAATAAACAAACCAACGACTTCCACACACAAAGACGTGACTCTATAGGTCCTATTCAACAAAAAAACGTTACTCCACTTGTTGTTCTGGCGGTGAATTGCTCTGCAACACACGCAAGCCTTTTAGAACCATAAATTGAAATCAGCTATGCGTAAAAACGCAGACGCAGAAGCATGCGCCAACACAGCTTGTGCCCAGGACGGGCTGTGTCTATTTGGAGGGTTTTTGGTTTAGAATAATCCGACGTAGATAAGAAAACGATTTATTGTGAACACAAGAAATTTAGTAGAAAGCATGCGGAATACAAAGAGTGTATGTGATCACCATTAATAGTCTATTTACAGTGAAGGGCCTTGAACTCCAAATGTTCTTCTCCCTCTAAGAATGTTCTCAAATGTACATTTGTTGTTGGAATTAAAATAGTATAGTCTACAATAGTGAGTTATGTAAACATTGCAGCAATGTCGGTTCTTTTATCTTTTTTATTAAATACTCGAGAATAATCCATAACAGTATTGCCAAGGACCTTAACAGATGATCGTAGTAGATCAATCCAATACCATACGGCGGAACTCCCGTGCGCAGCGAGTAGTGTGCATTTGTAAAAGGTGAATATGTCAAGAGTAACGAGTGCACGTAATTAGGTGAGATTCCGGTCAATTTTCAAAATAAAACGTTTTACAGAAATACCAAAATAAAGTTCTTTCTGTGGCGCGGTACTGTCTTACATAACTTTGTTAAATGTCTCTGATGTCTGTTCTGAGTTGTTGAGGAAACATAACCGTAAAACAACTGGATTTATTGTTTATTGCCAAAAACCTCTTCTTACCTGATTACATTGAAATAGGATCATGGCACCGCTTCATGAATGGGTGTGAATGGGTGAATGATGTCATGTAGTGTTAAAGCGCTTTCAGTGGTCAGAAGACTAGAAAAGCGCTATAAAAGTACAGGCCATTTACCATTTACCATTAAATTACTTTCGCCTAATGCCTGTTGCCAAGTAGAGTTTGAACGCACCATGTGAATCACAGTGACCTCCATTATTGTTTTCTTTTTATGAAAACACCCGGTTGTTTGTTACCTGAGTCCTTCTTTCAAGTGCTCCTGATACTCTGCAGCAACTGTCGAGAAAAACAAATTCAACCGTAATTTGCTCAAAGTACTTCCTCCCTGCTGTAATGCCCCTCCATGTGCACATGGCTTTGTATTTTGTTGGAGCCGCACTTACATATTGTCCTTTTTTGTTTTCTTGTTTGCATTCCAATCGTAACAGCTGGTATAAGGTATCAAAAGATCCGCAGGAAGTTGTCAGAACCCTCGCTGAGCATAATGCGCTTCATCGTCCGACCAGATGCTCAGTGTACTGACAATACTGCTCACCGCATTTTGTCAAAGCCGTGTACTAGGGAATATTTTGGGAGAAACATCTGTCTTTGTAAATGAATGGAGAGTAGATACGCACTTTTTAATCCTCTTAACTGACTAGAGTTCAGCCTTCTTTTAGCTCTACAGGCGATGGGTGTTTGACAGTAAAGAGACTGAGCATCACTTTATGCAGGTTTTTACATTCAGACAACTGATCTCTTCAATCAGTTTCACGTTCAGGGCTGTACCCCGGAACTCCCCCTCACACCGCCCCAGTCCTCCACCTTTTATCAGGACGGCTCATCCTCTGCTCAACCACGGTAATTACGTGAGTGTTTGAAGACCTCAGAGACAAACTATAAGAGATTTCTTTTGTGACACAACGCTCTGTTCTAGCTGAAGGAAGGAACAATAAAGCTGTTAAGCCACATTTTGGGAGGAGGAAGAAAAAAGGAATCTTTTCTTCAGGCACGCTGAGATTCTTTTTATTTTACATAGCGTATTAACCTCTTTTGAAGTGATATCATTTTTAAAAAATGTATCTGCTTTTATGAGTGTGTGTGTGTTGGTTCTGATACCATTTCTTTTTGGCCCGGGGTACCACCAATCATGTGATGTATTCACGAATCAGATAAGCAGGAGTCGGCAATCGGTATTGCTGATCATCGAGGAGCTGTTTTTGTGGTTATTTTGTTAAAGCAGTTAGTTACATGGATAGACTGTTTTTTACAGTCCCAATGTTGCATTCACACCAAATAATTCTTTTTATTATCTGGTCTCAAAAAAGCAGGTTACGGTTAGTGAGTTTGATAACTTATTGGCTCGGATCGGTGACCTTATTTCTCAGCTGGACACCAACTACAGCGACGACAGGGGGACCATCCCAACGCTGATGAGCTTTCACGCCGCTGGGTCACGCCAATTCGTCGCTGCAGTTGAAAAATGGCAACTTGTGTGTCCAGGGTAGTTTCTTTTTGCGACAAATGTGTTGCACCATCGCAATAGAACGTATCCTCAAAATACTTGTTTGGTCCAATCAGCGATCCAGAACACAGAAGCTGAGATCCGTATTATGGGCTAAAAACAAAAGAAAAGAAAAACAAATATCCCCATAATTGGAAAGTTGAAAACATCTGGTACTTCAATTAATCAATAAATTATAACTGCTCTAAACATGCGGATCCATTACTAACAGCTACAGTAAATACTTGGCTACGTTTAATCATACAGATGCCTTGGGAAATCCCCAAAATAATTAAAAAGTATTGCAGGTTTCAGATGAAAGTGCACACCTATGACTTCTCCACACATAAAATTCATGCTCAATAATTGATGAGAGAGAGATTTACAACTCAAATAGCAGCAGTTACTACCGTTCAGAAGCACGTTTCATAACTGGAATAGACAATGGACTGTATCTGCGCTCCCACGAGCAATAAAAACGGCCCAAATATACTTTGGTCATAATGAATATGTTACAGAGAAACTTTATTTCCTCTATGCGTTGGTTGTCTGACACACACACGCTGATTTTACGGAGCATACATTTTTTTTTTCAGAGCCAAAATAACATTTCAACAGCTACATACCTCGCCACAACATTTCACCTTTCTGCTGACTGCAGTTGCCAACACTGTGTTCTCAATCCATCAAGATGGATTATTAAGACTGTGATTTGAATTGGTTTTTGGAGACAAATATATCCACTTTTTAAAAATGTCTATGCAAACTGCAGAAATTGCATTCTTGTATGTATGTGTGTATATGTATATATAGATAGATAGATAGATAGATAGATATGCACACACGTTTATGTATTTTTTTGTTCTTTCCCGCTCATTTATATGTTCGTACCGCACCGCTCATTTATATGTTCGTACCGCACAGCAATTAACCGCACATCCCCGGAATGTTCTGTAACTAAGAGTTTGCACGTTGAGGATTTTTAACAGTTGCTACGTGAAAGTGACTTTTAGGCAGGTCATTAAAAGTGTTAAATAGCTGGCTCATGAATAAACTAATAAATAAACTGCTGCAGCTTCACATGTTCGCCGTGCCTTTCATCCTACTCTCTGTGAGTAAAGTCATAGCTGCGCAGGACACAGGCTTTGTTTGTCTGAAGCTGCTTCTCAGCGGTGTTGACAATAAGTGATCTCCAGCAGAAGCCGGGCCATCTTATCTCCTTTATGGCAGCAGGTTGGCCACTTTTGGTGGTTTCAGACTCTCCCTGTGGCTCACCTGGTGCTGTTCCATCCACAATCTATTTTAGTTAATCTTTAGGTTTCTTGGTCTACCCTCTTTAATGGTGGCATGAATCCCTCAAAAGGAGATGCATTTATGGCACATAAAACAAATCTGATCAAGGCAGATATGTGAATGTGGCAGCACATGACATCCACTTGTGGGATGAACTGTATTCCACATTCATACTATTATGCTGGAATGACATGTTGACTAGTTGAGGTTTATAAAAAAAAAAAAACATTTTAATGATTGTATGTCTTTGCTGTGCTGGTGGAAATACCAAGAAAATTAAATTTTCCAAATATATACGGTAGAATGTACGGATAACTTTATTTTAGTCCCTTGATTGACTGCTTTGGTGGTGTGCTAGCTACCACCATTAGCTTCCGTATATGGCATTTTACATTCCTGGAATTAGCCTGGTGGCTAGCAATCGTTTCCTTACCTGGTTTACAGTCACTGATTTTTACAAGATGAAAAACCTCTATTGAATGTCCTAACATTTGTTGTAACAGAGTTGTAACAGAGCAGCTAATATTGTTATATTGTTATATATATATATATATATATATATATATATTATGTGTGTGTGTTAATATTTGTTGTGAATTCTTCACGAGAGAATGTTGACGCTTTTATTTTGAAATTTTATTTTGACAGCGCATGTTTCCGCTTCCGGTACCGCGAATAATACACGCTACGCGACACGGACAGTAGATCCGTTACATTGAGTCATTGATGATGTAAGTTATGTTACCTCAATTTGTACTCATCTGCTCACACTGTTAAGTCTGTTAGCTTAGGTGTGTTTACTGTGTTCAGTGTTAATTCTGTAATGTAGCCATTCCATAATCGCTCAATGTTGAGCTAAGTGGCTAATCTGGCTAGCGAGCCTGCATTATTCAGTTTGCAATTTGTTTTCTGTGTTTGTTTCAGAAACTCCATCTTTACGTTCAACTTCCTGTCCACTATGTAATTCCTTCTGTCAATTGATCTGTGAGCCTGCATAAACGGATAAATACAGAAGGATATTCACCAACCTGATGTCTGCGTGTTCTCTGACCGGAACCCTGTAGTGGTCAATGTCCTACAACAATTCAGCATCTCAGGGGGCAAATCCCCAACAATATTGTTCCCCTCTGTTATTAAAGTCATTTTTTCGCAGTCGGCTGGGCCTCACCCTTCCCCTCACTCACTCACCCCATCACCCAACTGACCGACCGGCTGGGCCTCACCCATCTCCATAGTCACCCCCACACTCACTCACCTGACCAACCAGCTAGGCCTCACTCAACCCCACACTCACCCTCTCATTCATCTGACCGACCAGCTGTTCTCTTGTTTTAGTTAACAATATTAATATTGTGGTTGAACCTAAATGCTAAAATGGTTCAGGTACAGTGATTCCACACATCATAGCCCTTTTGAACTTGAGACTTGGTTTTGAGTAAGCTAGAGCTATATTGCAGTTGATTGTGTTTGACGTTTAAAGTGTTTGTTGAAAAAATGTAACTATACTCTCAAAGGAAGGTATCGATGCCATTTGTTCAGAACTATAATCCAAACTGGAAATGACTCATGGAATCTAAACCCATTGTAATCATTAGGTGAAATTGAATCTTTTGAGTGGCAGCCCAATTATTGTTATCACTTTGTAGCAACATGAATAACAGGTAAACGAGGTGATTTATGAAATGTTGATTAAATGTGTCTGACCCTTTAGGAAAAGTGTGGAACCTGCTCACAGTGATACAAAATCGATCGCGTGCCATCGATTAAAAAAAGCCGTCACGCCACACATGCGCACATTAGAAACTAATGCTAATTAGCGAGTCTTGCTTACTAACGGAGGCATTCGATTTCATTCCAAAGCAACCCAGGCTGACTCCAGTAGGGTAATGACCAAGAATGTGACGGTTTCCTCCTTCTGACAGATGAAAGGCTTCTTGTTTTCTACATATCGACTCGTTGGAGCGCGGTCGGTCCCCCTCCCCTCTCCTGCCAGCCGGCACGGAGGGAGGTTGATCGCCATGACCTGGTTAGTTGAAAAGTAGCTCGCAAGCCGGAAAAGTGTGGGCACCCCTGCTCCACAAGTCCTGTTAAAATAATTAACTTACTGTAACCCTGCGGCGGTTTTCAGAGGATCTTCACTTAATCATAATTGCGTTAAGCACAAGCTCACTTCTATTTGTACTTAAATTAACCAAAAGTTTTCAGTGATTTAACATACGCATTTCAGCTTCAATAATACTAATAGCACAGATGCTTTTTACACAGGGTTGTCATATTAAATTGCAAAAGGGCTAATCTTGTTGGCATGTATAATTGTAAAAAAGCATAATCTGAAAGTGGAAAAAAGAAGAGCAAAATATAAATTCTTTGCTTTGAAATAAGAAACGTTTTACTACTTTTTGGAATATTATTATCCCAGTGTTACCATTGTAATTGTAGCAATAAAGCCTTGAATAGGCCTACTTAAAAAATATTATTAATATTGCAATTGGTGTTCTTTGAGGGCTGGTTGGTATGGCCAAAAATCCATATCACAAGATTCTGACGTGTATCAAAGATTTTTTTTGTTGTTGAGTAAACCCATTCATTCTTTGACGCCGAAAAGGACGCTAGCCAACTGAACAGGTTTTTACCACTGTTTTTTGTTGTTAGCTGCTAGCGTTAGCTGTTGTGGCTGCTAGGGTTGCCACCAGAGCCCATACCAGCGGCTCGACCAAATTTGCAATAAACCGTTTTCTGATCTAACTTGGGTGGGAATTTTAAAAATCAAAACAGACCCAGCTCCTCTCTTGGGCAAAGGTTGTGTTGGTGCATCTCTGGTGTCTCATTGTTCCTCCTGTATCGCTCTTTTCCGTGTTTCCATATGGTGACAGTTTCTTCTTTTACTGATAGAGGGCTGCGAGCTGTAGTTCGGTGGGGTAATTTTATGAATGTACAATTATTAGTTTTACAAATTGTTTGTGTCACGACAGTTTGTGTCATGGTGTTTTACTCTCTTAAAGAGTGTTTGTTGTGGGTTATTCATTGATGTTATAAAGTTATAAGCATGACGCAATCTCAATCTGCACGGTCGGAGCTACTGCCGAAGACCAAAGTCAGTTACGGCTTGACACCGGTACGTGAAAAATTCATACTGTAAGGAAATCTTATTACGGTTGAAACGGAATACTGCACAGCCCTAGGTTCTTCTCCCCCACAATTCACAAGTACTCGCATGATGAACTCACCTAATGTAATGTGCTTTGTTTGAACACAAACAAACTGTCTTCTGTTGGCGACATAATTTATATGAATGCCATATTTATGCAGCTTTTCCAATAGATTATTTTGTCACTATAGAAAGAAGGGTCTATAGTAGGGCTGTAAATAGATTAAAATAAATGAACAAATTAATTAATCGTGATTAATCACGATTAATGATTTAGCTGGCTCACATCCCCTGACGTTATGTCATCACTTATTTGACAGATAATTAGAAGATAATCATTATATCCAAATAGGGGCTGGACTTCTGTGAATTGGATCGAAATTAAAATTCAAACTGGTTTCAATGAAGTGATTTGTGTGTCCCTACATATTCTTTGAAATTTTAGCAAGCAGCTTTCTTTACAACTTGAGAGAGCGGAGATTGTCTTTGCTTGTCCTTGTAGATGCTTATAAATTTAATGATCTAAAGGACAAAAGATATCCAAGATTAATCTGATTTACCATGTAAGCCCCTTCGCGGAGTGAAAAACATACTAGACCAATATATCTCTGCACTGCAGAAAGTCTCTTAACTACACCCCATGTTCCCCGGCTCCCTTGCAGCTTGTTGATATACTTTTCAAAAATGATACGACTGCCCACATGTGTTTTTTATTATGCTGTCCGACCGCTGAAGATCAAGGGAGAGAGAAACTGTAATCAGTATGCAGGCTCACAGAGGCCACTGGGAAAGGGAACCGGGAGTTGGACAAACAGTCAGAGCGCCGCCTCGATATATTTTTTCCACCCTCCCTTTAAGATTAAGGTGTAGCAATTTATGGGAACCCATGAACAGGTGGCCCTTCGAGACCTCTTACAGCAAATAAAACGAGAGATTGAGGAATCTTATCAATACGTGCACACTCACACAAACACCCACACCACAAGTGAGGGGAGAAATTCCGGAATACAAGAAGAAGGGAAAGGTGATGGTGCTTGTATTAGCTTCCGTTAAGAGGAAGCAGGCAGGAAAGAAGCGGCAAGAGCGGCACACCCGTTTCTCCGTTTTCCCCCTGATGTCCTGATTTCATCACCCCGGCAGAAGCAATACATCTTAATTTGCTTCTGTCATCACAGGCTGCCCTCGATCTGTCAGCCTTCAACCTCGGGAGGAAGGTGTTACACACCAGAAGGACATCGGTTCAAAGGCAGCACGACATCCTTTTTTCCTTTTTTGAGGCCCGGGTTGGTTTGCAGTTCGATTGAAGTCAGGAAAGCCAGTTATTTTATCAGATATTTTATTTTCTAGCCTATACAGGCTTACTGAACTCCCAACCTGCCGAGATTATGGATACGGGAATGGAAGCTTATCTATTCATCCAGTTTTGTGTTTTTTTGGCTCCTTTCATTACCATTTATCAATTTAGAAGGTTTGTTCCTTCCCTTTCAGGCCGTTCCTGCCCTGAGCTACCCAGTCATCCCGTTCCCCCTGCCTGTCTGTCCCGGTGCAAACTGACGGCAGAGCTGCCTCTGTTGGTTCAAAAAACAAGTTAAGCATCAGCTCTACATCTGTCCACGGTCTGTGTCTCAACAATACGTTCATCACGTGCTATATCAAGGGTGTAACATATGAAAACAGAGCTCGGCAGTTGGTGTGTGGGAGGCCTCTGTCTCATTGAGCACGCTTCTCAAGTTTCTTACTTGCGACAAAAAAGAGGGTTATAGAAGCTGGAGCTGGCTGAACGTTCCCTCAAATAGGATGTGACGTTAAGCTGATGATTAAACCCATCGGGGGCGACCGGTAAAGGGAAGCGAGAGACAGGCGACGCGAGAGGCAGAGGAGAGAAGGTGACAGGAAAGGAGACTGAGGGGTGGGTGGAAGGAAAGATGAGTTCAGGATGAGAGAGTTACAGCAGTGTGGAGAAAAAAGAAGCAGGCACGATGCATTTCTCTGGCTGTCAGGCGCGGGCTCTTTCTATTTACTTCTCAGCCCTTCTCATGGTTTCTGCACACCTGCCCGGCTGTCCTTTTGTTTGTACCTCCTTTGTTCTTCAGGAGGCCTTTGCTGTGCTAACTGCGAGCGGGCATCTTTCCCTTTCGCAACGGCAGATTTGTACCGACTACCAGCCAAGAGCCCCTATACCTTGGCAGCGATTGGACATATCTTTTTTTGCAAAGAAACCGGGCGGATGGAAACGTGTGCGAACAAACACGATCTTTATAAACCCTCCCTCTGCAATGGATGGTAGTAGCTCCAGTGCAAACCGTTCATAGCTGGGGTGTGGATTATCACGATACCTAAGTGGCGAAGTTATTGTGATTTGATCAGAGTAGTGCTATATCAAACATGGCAAAATGCAATATATTGACTTAATAATGGCACAATATAGGAAAATGAGCAGAGCGGACACCGACAGGGGAGGGGAACATGTGAACCCACCGTGTTACAAAGTGTTAATTTTTGTGACATCTACAGATAATTAGGATAAACAACTCCAAATGGACTTGGTTACGAAGCCGCAATCTTCAGCTCCAGTGTGGGAACAATTTTGCTTTAAGACGAATGAGCGAAGAGAGCCAATAACGTGAACAAGCTGGTACGTCGACTTTGTTTAAAAGCAGTGGCAACGAAAAGAGGCAACACAGCTAAAGCTAAAATCTCACCTAAAACAACAATAACCATCCGCCCAGTCTTTCAACCTGAACTACTGTCGGTTCCTCAGGACTGCTCGTTCAACTCTTTGAGCCGGCCGATTGTTAGCAGGAACGGGCCACTGTATCTTTCCCTGCCATGGAGTGCGTCGCCCTGCTGGTGGTTGAAGCCCCCCGGGTTAATGTGCCCATGTCACATTTTCTCAATTTAGGATTTTTTCACATTCCGATTGTAACGTCCATTTATTCTGACGAATAAAACGTTCTTTGTTCTTTGAAAGAGCGTACTTGTATTACTATGCCGAGCGTACTTGTATTACTATGCTGTTATATTGTCATTATGTTATCCGACTTGCAATAAGTGCATTTCAACCATAAGAATATAGACACAAAAGAACAAGAAAGAAGGGGCCATTTCATCAAATACATCTTGCTATAGATTCTATAGACTGAAGAGCTAGTATAATCAGGGGTGCACATAACTGGTACACAGGTACGCATGCGCAACGAAAATCAACAATGCGTAATGCCACTTGTGTTACTTTGCGCCTTTTGCGTACCGATCATCTTATCAAATCTTACACATGTTGCTTGTCAACTACTGTCAGTGATGTCCAAAAAGCAACAGACCTTAAGCAGCTTCTTTGGCGTTTCACCACCTACAAAGAAACGCCAACTGGAGCCTGAGCCGAAGAAAATACTTAATACTTATAATACTTTTCGGAAAAGTGGCTCCAAGATGTGCAGTGGCTTGAAGCGAACGATGAGCGCACTGAAATGTGGTGCAAGATTTGCCGCTCACATCCACATCTAGCGGACAAAACAGGTGCGTTTTATAAAGGCTCCAAGAATTTCAACCATCCTTTATTTGACGAACATGAAAAGAGCTAGGAGCACGTGAATGTGGCGCAAGCCATTGCTAATAAACAAGCTAGCCGAGAAGAAATGTCCAGTCGCCCACTTGGCAGATGGCGAGACCAGCTGAATGAAGAACAGCGGCAAGCTCTGTTCAATATTTTTCTCCTCGCCTTCCATTAAGCTTAACGCGCACGTCCCATGTCTTCCTATTCTGAGGATGTTCCTTTACTGAAGCGGCTCGGAGTAAATGTCGGAGGTGCATATCATTCACGTGAGGGGGGCGCACGGATCATGCAGAGCATTGCGCGCACACTCAGCGGGGAGTTGCGAGCCAAGTTGCAGTCTGTTGAATTTTGGGGGCTGCTTTTTGATGGATCTGAGGACATCACAAAAACTGAGCAGGAAATCGTTTACATTGTGTCTGTGTCCAATAACGGAGAGTTTACCTCAGACTTTCTTGGACTGATTGAACTGGGTGCTCACCGAACCGCGCAGGCCATAACAGACGGGCTTGTGAGACTTTTCCAGGACACGGGCTTGGATGACTGGACAACTAAGTTAGTCGCTGTGTGCACAGACAGGGCTGCTGTTAATGTCGGTATATACAATGGCGTTGTACCAAAACTCCGACAACTTGCTGCAGTTGGAGACTCCGTTGTGCACATTCTGTGCACAGCACACACACTTGAGAATTGCGCAAAATCAGCTGATCGCAACGTTCCTTACTGTGAGACATTTAATCGCTCTGTGGTCAAGCTGCTGCAGTTTTATTTACAGAAAGGTGGAACAAAAAAAACTGCTGCACTGAAGAAGCTGTGTGAAGAAAATGGGATCTCCTTTGTGAAACTGGGTAAGTTTCATAATATCAGGTAGTCTGCATGGAGGCATGAAACACTGTTAAAAATATCAAGACTATTGCCAAGTGGCTATGAGTGATAACAGTGACTTGCGGCACATCTGCACAGAGCGTTTTCAGAGCTTTCTGTCAAACATGATTGACATTGGCAACATTTTGAAGACCAAATCCATTAGGTTCAGAAGGAAAAGCTGACCATTGGAGAATGTAAGGATGAACTCATGGTGGCCATTGGACAGTTCGCACACTGTTTCTAATGATGATGCTAACAGAGACAAGACAAACTTACTCAGGGGGTTAATTGAAGAGTTTGAAATCAGATATGACTCCCTCAAGTCATGTGATCATTTCTTAGTATTTGATCCTTCAACATGGCCTCAGGAAATGCAAGACCTCTATAGTTTTGGAAACACAACAGTTTGCAGCATTCTAAAGAAATATGAGGCCACCTTACAACTTGACAAAGACACCACTGTGACAGAATGGATGCGCTTAAAGCAGGCAGGAAAATGCCTGGAAGCCTCTTCTGTGTATGACTTCTTGTATGAGGTCCAAATAGTAAATACAAGTAACCCTTACTCCAAAATCAACAAGGTGGTTAAGCTGTCTCTTACACTGAGAGGATTCTCACATCTCAACATAATAAAAAACAAGTACAGAGCTCGTCTGTCACATGCTCGTCTCTCCGCCCTGATGCACATTCACCTGTCAAAGCAGACCACAGAGACATTTGACCCAAAGCAAGCTGTTGACCTGTGGATGAAGACAGCTAATCGGAGAATCAACCAAGGACAGGGAGGTGCATCTGCAGCATCTTCTTCATCTACCATGCAGGAAGCTGAAGCAGAGGACAGTGGGGGCGACACTGAGGACAGTGAGGAATGCTGCACTTAGACCACGCTACGTATGGAGTGAGTACCAAACACCATCTCCCGGTACTCACCTGAGTAACTCACTGAAAAGGTTATGTGCACCCCTGAGTATAAGTACAATTGAAATGCAA